GGCACAACCTACCCTGTCCTCTCTGAGCCTGCCTTCTCCTCCCATAAAACAGGCACCATGGCTGAACCGGCCTCTCAGGCTCTAGTGAGCACCAGAGGAGACTGTCCGTGGGTAAAAGGCAGCAGCCACTGGTCTTGGCGTTGGCCCAGGACAGGGCGGCGTGGGGCCCAGGGCACGGGACTGGAAGCAAGGCCTTTTCCATCCAGCTCCTCAGCAGCCCATGGAGACTTGTCTGAGCCATGTGACGTGAGCCTGGAGCCACTGCCAGCTCAAGATGCCTGAGGCTCGTGTGGACGAGTGAGTCAGGCCGGGCGGGGATGGTGGCAAACCGGACAGCACATGCCCTGTCTAGAGGGGCGAGCTCACTGCACCCCACAGGAATGCGGGCCCAGTGTGGCCAGATAGCTCTGTTGCTTAAGAGAAATAGGAACTCAATATTTATTTGAAACATCCCAGTTCTTCCGTGTTGGCAGCTAACTCATTTTTAAATTTGCATGAGTCAAACCCATGGTGTCTGTGGGCCAGATGCTAACCAAAGGCCACCCGTTTACGATCTCTGAGGACACTGGGAGGGGGGCCCTCAGGGTCCCGGGTTGGAAAGCAGGTGCTGAAGGGACATCCCAAGTCCTAGACAAGAGCTCAGCCCCGGGGCCACCTTGTCCTGGCTCGGTGGTGGGGCAGCACAGATCCTGGAGCAAGGTGGGCTTGCGTTCGAATTCAGCTTTGCTGTGTACCAGCTGGGTGATCTTGGGCAAGTACCTCTCTGAGCCTCAGCTTCCTCTTCTGCAAAATGGGATTGTGGCCACCTGCATCTCTCAGTGGCCGCGGGGACGAATGGGCCCTGAACCTGCACAGTCCGTCATGGGCGGGGCTCCCAGGAGGCACTTACTCCCCATCGTCAGGTGGTTGAATTAAGAGAGGCCAGGGGCTTGGTCCATGCAGACGGCCAGAGCTGCTGCTTTTTCTTCCCCCCGAAGCAAATGTTTTTCTTTTAGAATTAGAGACAAGTAGTTATGATAATACAGAGAGCTCCCATGTACCCCTCACCAGCTTCCCCTGTTAACACCTTATTTTATTGTGCGTTGTAAACATTGATACATTGCTATTAATGAACTCTGCAGTTGATTCAGATTTCACTAGTGTTCCCCTGCCATCCGTTCCCGTTTCAGGATGGCATCCAGGATGCCAACCATGTTATATTTAGTTGTCATGTCTCCTAGTCACCCCTGGTCTATGACAGCTTCTCAGACTTGCTTTGGTTTTGATGACCTTGACAGGTCTGAGGAATATTGGGTAGGTGTTTTGTACCATATCCCTCGATTAGGGCTGAACTGATGTTCTTCTCATGGTTAGCCTGGGGTTGTTGGTTTTTGGGAGGAAGACCACAGATGTGAAGCGTCCTTCTCATCACATCATATCCAGGGGACATGCTCTGAACAGGACATGGCATTGATGAAACCCGGACCACCTGGCTGAGGGGGTGCTGGCCAGGTTTCTCCCTGGGCGGTGACTCGCCCCACCACCCTCCATACTCTGTGCTTTGAAAGCAAGTCACCAAGCGCAGTTGAGTCCTGGCTCTACCCATTTACTCTCTGTGTGACTGTGGGCAACTCGATCTTAACTGGAGCGACTATGAGAATAGTAGCATCATGTGCTGGTCATTCTGTGTTCATCCAAGTGACAGAAACGCACTAAAGTCATTTAACCAAATAGGCTTTGTGTTTTTTCCTCACATGACAGGGAGTCCTGAGGTGGCGAGCTGAGCTCATGGATATTCTCAGGAAATGGTCAGGCGCTCAGGCTCCTCCTGACTGCTGCTCTGCCATTCGTAGCATGTGGCCTTTGCCCTCATGGTCCCAAAGTGGCTGCGGGACCTCCAGCATCACTGCTGTGTTCCAGGCAGGACTCTGTGAAATTGGTGGTATGATTCCCATTTTACAGAGAGGAAAGTGATGCTCAAGAAGATGAGAAACCCCTATCTTAAGGGAGTGAGTGCTGTGAGGGTTGAGACCACGTATGTAACCTAGGGCGGCGTAGGTATAGCTGATGTTTTCTCAGTGGGGGGGCCTCTCCCAGGCCCTTGGGGGCTGGGGTACCTGGTTACCTGGGGGGTGAGGGTGGGCCTCTGGGTACTGGAGCCCCTGCACACGGTCAGCCTGGGAACTCAGACCCCTTGGAGCTGCCTGTGGAACCTCAGAACTGGCCCATGCCTGGGGCAGCAGTGTGGCCTGCTTTGTTGAGGGTGGAGGATGTGGTTGAGCCAGCACAGGCTGGCTTTAGTGATGGCCAAATAACACTCAGGCTTGGGGACAGTCAGCAGGCCTGTGTCTGCTGACCTGCTACTCAGTGCCCACTTGTGTGGGAGATACAGGGAAGGGTTCGCTGTTCTTGTTCTGTTTAGGAAGATAGATTTATTTCAGGGGCAAACTATGGCATAGGCCAAATCTGGCCTGCCACTGTCTTTGTGAATAAAGTTTTATTGGCACACAGCCATGCCATTCGTTTACATCATGTCTGTAGGTTTTTGTGCTACATGGACAGAGCTGTGTAGCTGTGACAGAGACCGTGTGGCTTGCAAAGCTTGAAATATTTACTGTGGCCCTTCGCAGGACTAGTGTGCTGACCTTGGCCTGCACAGAAAGCAGCCAGGATCAGGGCTATGCAGTCAGGGCTCCCAAGAGAGACGCAGGTGGGGCAGGACTTATGAGGGGCTGTGGGGGTTTCTGGAAAGGTGTGCTGCAACAGCCATTTGAGGGTTTTATCAGAAAAGGAGCTGCTTAGGGTGCAGATCACTAAAGGGCCAGCTGTAAGCATCTGCCAGAGCAGCAGGCTGTGGAAATGCTGAAGTGGCCTGGTGGGGCCTTGGCTTACAGGACTGCACTCAGCTTGGCCACCGGGGGCCACAAGTAAATTTCTTATAATTTTCCAAGAGAAGCCAGCAATCTGGTTTTCACGGGAAACGTTTGCAGCTAATTCCGTTTTTAAAAACCATGAGTACATGTGCCTCTGGTGTGTGGGCTGCGGGTTTGGGAACTTGGGTGTCCAGGGTGGAAGTGAGGAAGATGGGGCATGTGGGTAGACCCAGGGAACACGCAGGGCCCCAGAGGTCCCTCTTGCAGAGGATGGCAGGTGGGCCCAGAGCTGGGGAGGGGACAAAGGGTAACTGGGAGGTAGGGGGCGTAGCAGAGCCCTGGACCTACTGCGTCAGGCCTCCTGTCTCCCATCCTGTCTGAGCTGGTGGAACACTTCTGCCTGCAGGCTTGGGCATGAGCCCTGAGTTGGACACTCATCCTTGCTTACCTGGCTGCCCCTAGAGGCGCCTCTTACAAGCGGCTGTAGGTTGAGGGGTCGGAGGTGGAGACCTCTGAAGTCCCTAGAGAGATTCTCTAGGGTTTGGCTTTGCTGCCCTGTCTTCAAGGAGTCAAGTCAGTGACAGGAGCCCTGTGGGGTGATGGGCAGGGGCTGGGCTTGGAGCTGCACAGGCCTGAGCAACCCCAGCTGCGTGGTTCCTTGGTTCCTGTGACCTCTGAGATGGAAATGACCCCTTTCATTGCAGGTTGCCGGGAGAATCAAGAGAAAGTGGGCGGGACAGGGCTGGGTTTCCACAGCATCTGGGGTGCCCCAGCTGGGGGGCCTGGCCTCGGGGTGTGGGGGTGTGGTTCTGTTCTCCCGACAGCATCTGGGTGCCGGGCTATTTTCAGCCTCACAGATGGGCCCTCACCTGCTGATTCAAGAACTGGTTCCCAAGTGCTCGCTGGCACCCCTATGGGTTTAGCATTTGTTTTAAGCAGGACTCTTGGTTTCAAGTGACAGCAACCCAGGTTGGCTTGGCTTAAGCAAGGAGAAGTCCTTGGCTCAGGAACAGGAAAAGTCCCAGGGTAAGTCTAGCATCAGGCAAAATTGGAATCAGGTGCTCAAATGATGTTGTCAGGTCTCTGTCTTGCTCCCTCTCCCAGCTCTGCTTCCTTGTGTTGGCTTCCTTCTCAGGCAGATCCCCCAGTGTGGTGGCAGAAGTGGCCCTCAGGCTCAGGACCCATCCTCACAGTCACCTGGCTGAGGACATCCCTGTCCCAATAGCAAAAGTCCCAGAGCTGCTTCTTATTGGCCCAACTTGGGTCACATGCTCATCCCTGGACCTATCACTCCTGGGGGGGGGTCAGGCCTCCTGTCACCCTTCCTTTGGTTGTAGGGTGGGCTGTGGGGCTGGCACAAGAGATTGCACAGGGAAATCAAGTCGCCCATACCAGAATGGGAAACGGAGGCTGGACACGCAAGGACAGCCCACGCCCACCCACCTGATGGAAAAGCCCCCCTTCCCAACCTCCCTGCAACAAAATCCGCACCAGAAATAAGTACGCACTTCTTAAAATGGTTTGATTAAAAAAAACAACAAAACAGACCAACTAACACATGCATATGGCACACACTTCAGGCAGCACAGATGGATCCTCAATCGGCCTGTCCCCTGTTCCCCCAGTGCAGGTCCTGTGCCCAGGCTCCCCGGGACCCTGCAGAGCTGTGCCTCCCAGGGCGCGTCGCTGTCTCAGTCATCCCCTGTGAGAACGGGGCTCTGCCTGTTCTTGCTGAGGCCTGCAGGGTGCTCCGTGGAGGACAGGGACCCCCACGATGGCCCGGCTCCCTCAGGTGCGCTGGCTGGCGGGCAGAGTTGCCAGAGCATCGCGGAGTCTTCCTCTCGGTCACCTGCACCACTCTCCCTACAGCAGGGGTAGGGAGCCTTTTTTCTGCCAAGGGCCATTTGGATATTTATAATATCACTTGCAGGCCATACAAAATTATCAACTTAAAAATTAGCAATGGAAAAAGCTCCTAGATTTATTGAATGTTGAGTCCTGCCCACAGTTGCCTTGGCAGGGCCAGACCGCGGGCAGGACATTCCCCACCCCTGCCCTACAGGATGAATTCCTCCAACTGGAATTCTTGGGTCACAAAGCAAGTGGAGTCACACAGCTGATGGGGCGCCCCGTTTTCTGTCATTCCAGAAACTGTCTGTGCTGTCGCCTCCAACATTTGAGCTGCCCGCGTTGTACAGGACCGAGGACTATTTTCCTGTGGACGCCGGGGAGGCAGCACCTCAGACCCCCAGCTGCCGACACCGACTGTGAGCGTGGCGGTCCTGCCACCGGGCCTGGGGGAGTGAACCTGTGTGTCCAGGGCAGCTCAGGCTCCTCCTGTTTTTATTGTCATTGATTTGTTTGCTGAATTTCCCCCCTTGCTTCATGTGAGCCCGGGGCGTTTGGAGAAGCAGCTGGAACCTGCGCGTGGCGATGCCTGCGGGGGAGCTGGAGGGGGCATTTTCCTCCTGTGTCGGGCGGTCAGGTCTGATGAGCCACCATGCCCGGGGGACGGTGGGGACTTTCTCTCTGAAGGGCTTTGCGCAGGAATATGGGGGACTTACTCGTGCCACTGGGCTGTGTGGTTCAGGTCCGTCACCGTTGGCTGGTTTGTCTGCGAACCCCAGGGCCCGCTGGTGTGTGAATCATGTCAATAAAGGCGTCAGGAGGTGACGTGTGGTCTGTGTGTGGGAACAGGTGGGGGGCAATGACCAGTTCCTTTTTACTGTGTGTTTCCTCTAAGGCTGCTCCTGCACCTGGGCAAGCCCGCCCCGAAATCTGATACAGCCCCCGGCCTGCACCTGCTGGGGTGCAGCGGGGCCTGCAGATCCCTAGGACTTCCCTCTCCAAAGGCGCGTTCGCTTCCATTTCTCCTCATGCAAATGAGCTTCCTGCTATTATCCTCGAAGTCCAGATTCCACCCTTTAGTAATGGGTGTGTCTAATTTTCTGGAATTCCTCACAGAGCCAAGAGAATACGCATGCGGGCGCGCACGCTCCCAACCGCAGGCCTGCAGTGGAGTTTCAAGGAAATCTAAAGAATCAGGCGAGATAGGAAAGAGCTGAGTCTTGCCAATTGCAGGGTACCTTTTGGAATGAAAAGATAAAGGTGGACCCCTTTGTTTCAAGAGAGCCGACATCTTTCTGGGGAGATGACTTGCGTAAACTTTGAGTTTTTTATTAAAAATGCTTATAAACTATTTTACGTTATGGAAGTCTGACTTTACATAGAGAAAGGTGCACCTCGTGTATGATTCCCTGAGTTTTCACACCTGTTCACCCCTCCCCCAGGTGGAGAAACAAACAAATAGCATGGTCAGCACCCAGAAGCCCCTCCTCCCCCTCCCAGGCGCTGCCGACCCCTGGGCTGTCCCCACCCTGACATCCAACGTCACAGTTGGCGTTGCAGGTCTCTGCCCCTGGGCTGGAGGGTGACTGGAGAAAGTACACACAGCACGTCCCCTTTGTGTCTGGCTCCGCGGCTGACTGTGCGGTGGGAGGCGTCCCTGTGCAGCTGCGGATCGTTAATTCTCATGGCTGCGTCGTATTGATCGGGACTGTTTTTAATGAAGGAAGCTTAGATCCTCACCGTGCCCCGGCCTGCTCAGGGGGAGCTCGGATTCGATGGAAAGTTCATTTTTCAGACAAGTGGTGAGGACACCAATTCCCAGGAGGCTGAGTATGTTGATCACTGGAGAGGCCGAGGCTTCTTTCTTCTTCCATGAAGGGGTGAAAGGCAATGTCATGAGATCAAGCCACAGCAACTTCAGTGGCCGAAAATAGAGACCCACAGGACCGAGGCTAAGAGCTTGTAGGCTGAGGTCAGCCGGCCTGGTGGCACCATCATCTCCTGTAGGCTTTAGCTGTGTGACCCTGGGCTAGCTGCTCACCCTCTCTGAGCCCAGCCTCCTCAATAAAATGCAGAGGCCAACGGCACCGGCCTGTTTGGTTGCTGTGTGGATGAAACAGATGACCTGCATGAGCACTTGGCTGGCCACTCCAAGCTCCCTGGGAGTTGCAGTGCCAAACAATGAACTTTTAGGGATACTTGGAGACACCTGGGGGAGGGAAGGCCAGACACAGAGCCTACCAGGTAGTCCTGACCTCGGTCCTTTGAGCTGCTGGGATTCTGGAGGCCCTGTCCTTGTGCCAGGTGACTGATAGGCATCTCCTCTAAAGCAAGTGCCCGACTTGCTCCTGTCAAGTAAATAAAAGCCTCGATACTGACTCAGCAGGTTCCAGAGCCCCTTGCAAGGGTCACTTTGCAGCCTAGAAAAGGGTGATCTTTTTTCTTTCTTTAGCAGCTGTTTTTGGACAGGGATGCCAGTAGAAAGGCCACTGCAGATTTTCATGAGAGGAAGGTTCTTCAGCCAGTCACCTCCCCCTTCTCCAGTGGATGTGAACTTCATGTCTGTCAAAGCAAGAGGCTCCAAGACGGTGGTCCCTGGGTTGACAGAAATGTGTGGTTTGCCCTGGACTGTTTGCAAATTGTTTTCATGTTGAGACAACTGGGTAACCATCTGGGAAAAAGTGAGTTCCATACCTCCCTCTGCACACCATGAACAGTTCCAGAATTCCAAATGGATTAAAGAGGGGTTAAATGTATAAGAATTAATTTTTATTGTTGACACTATTACAGATGTCCCCCATCTGCCCACCTAAAATTTAATTTATGGAGGCAGAAACATTACAGAATCATACAAAATGTAGAAGCCATAAAAGCTAGATAAAATTGATAATATATATAAAAAATTAATCCTCTGCATGGCAGAAAATGGAAGACTCAACCAAGAAAACAAAACAAAACAAAAAAGAAACCCCAAGACAAAACAACAAAATCCTAAGCAAATTCAAAAGACAGATGACAAACAGGGAAAATATATTTGCAGCTCATATTACAGAGGGATAAGCTCCCTAATATATAAACAGCTCTTACAGATAAATGAGAGGGGAAGAAATAGAAAAACGCGCAAAGGATATGAACAGACATGTCACAGAAAATGCAAAAGGCTTTTAAACATTTGAAAAGCCAGTCCACAATCTATACCAATCAGTATGGAAGAAGATTGAAATTATTCAGTTTTCTCAGGCTGGCAAAAAGGAAATGTTTTTTGAAGACACCGTTGGTGAAATTTTAAAGAAACATTCATTCTTATACATTGTTAGGAGGACCCCTTCTCGTGGAGGTCTGTGGACTGTACCTGTCGGCATTAGAAATATGTATACCTTTCAGCCTAGTAATTCCACCCTTAGGGATCCAGCCTCTCCATATACACACAAGAGAAACGATAAATGCAAAATGTCACTCACTGCACATTGAAGTCCCTAAAGATTGGAAAGAACCTAAGTGTCCATCACTATGGGATTGGTTTAATTATAGCACATCCATGCATATACACAGATAGGTGGAATCCCCTGATGTTGTAAAAATGGATTAGGCATTCTTTATTAAGCAGGACAGAAATGCCACCAAGATCAGAGATCCAAAGTGCATAAACATGCACATGCTATGCCACCATCTGTGTGTGAAAGAAAGGCACTGAAATTCTCTGGGAGGGTAAACAGAACTTTGAGAACAGTGAATATCTGTTTTGGGTAAGAAGTGGATGTTTCTCTTTTACTTTTGTATACCTTTTAAAAAATTTTTGGTGTTTACCTATTCAAAAAATTCAATTAAAATCAGTTGTCAGCAATTAAAAATTTGTACAGCCCAGATAAAAATTGGAATTATCTGGCAATATTGGCCCACGTTCTTGCAAGGCAACAAGGAGCTACAGCTGAGTCGCTTTGGAGGGGCCATGCTCTCCAGGTTTCTCTTGTATCAAATGACTTCACTAATTGATTTTACCCCTCTGGCCCCTGTGGGTATTTGCATTTGAGAGCCTTAGAACTACGGAGAGCATGGGGTATGTGAAGAAATGCATCTAGGGCCGCTGTATGGTCATTGCAGTTCAAGCAACTGGCAGGCTGGTAAGCATATCCGTGCCCTGATTTCAGATTCCATGGGGACGGGGTGGGGGATCCATTATAGAAATAGGTGCTTTCCACGGCTCTCTTTTTGGGAGTGACTGATACTAAGGCCAGACAAAGATATAAGAAAACTACAGACCAGTATCCATCATAAATATAGATGCAAACGTTCTCAAAAAAGTCTTAGCGGACTGAATCCAGCAACCTGTACAGCGGCTTATCCACCATCACCAAGTGGGATCTCCCAGAAATGCAAGGTTGGTTTAACATCTGAAAATCAATGTAACGCACTGTATTAGTAAAGGTCAAAAACCGTGTGATCACCTCAACAGAGGCAGAAAAAGCACCTGACAAAATCCAGCCTCCGTTTGTGATAAAAGCTCCTCTTGAGGTGGAAAGGGGAGTTCTCGGGGAGGAGGGCTGGGGGATTTGTTGACGCCCCCGGGCACGTGGAGGCACCCAGGCACTTTCCTTCTCCTCTTAAAGCCAAATTCCAGTGTCTTATGGTCACAAGCACGACCGCCTTGGAGTCTGGAAAGATTAAAAGCAGCCCTGACTCCGAGCAGCTGCTCCTGAGTCCCGTGGCTTCGCTGCGGATTCAAAGGCCCGGAGCTCCTACCAGCCGTGAGCTGCGTGCGTGTCAGGCTCGCACCGCTGGGTGGGGCGG